AGAACAAACATCTAGTTGGGATTTTTGAAAAGTTGCCTTAGGATATTAGTTTGGTAATTATTTTCATGGATATTTTTTCCTTGCTGATGTTTCTGGCTTTTCTGCCAGAATGTTTGAGGATAGGATTGCATGAAAAATTAAGTTAATGAAAAAATAAAAAAAAATGAAAGTCAATACTAAGCTACATTACTTATAAAGTTAACTGATCTGTGCCTACATAGCTAAATAAAATGTCTACACTCAGTACTCTGACAAAGACCATCAAACTTCCAATGTGTTTAATCTGGCTCAAGAGAACTTCATTTGTGGACCAAGTTATAGCTGCTGCTCCTTCCCAAAAGTTGCTTTGTATCTTGTTTTGTGGTATTGATCTTTGGTAATTAGCATGGGGTATGTTAATAACCAACTCTTTACCATTCTTCTACAGATCCTGAAGAAATTCAACTTGGACACAGTCTATGAAGGACAAACTGAAGTCGATGGTGAAATGTACTCTGTAGAACATGTTGACGATGGACCAGGTGCCTTCCGTGCTCATCTCGATACTGGCTTGGCTCACACCACCACTGGTGCCAGGATCTTCGGTGTCATGAAGGGTGCCGTTGATGGTGGCATTGAGATCCCCCACAGGTAAGGGCTTACATGAGAAATCTCTGGTCTTTAGTATGTATAATGCATAATTTCAAGTGCACAGAGCGAATCATCCCGAGTGTAGACTACCTTGCTCCACTCCTTTGATCATAAAAAAAAAAAGTGATGGTTTTAGATGACGGAGTTAATTGCTTTTACATGTTAGTGTGTACAATTGTGCTTTGTCTCCTATATAAACTCGGGACATCCCCAGAGGGATTCAGTGATTTGAGTGCCTTATCTTTGCAAAAAACTGAACAAAATGATCGAACGATATGGGTTTGATATTTTTCATATTTCTGCTACCAATGGTAGCATCCACCTTTTTTACTAGAAATGCATAAATAGGGTGCTTTAGCTGTATCAACTCCTTACTAAGCGAATGCATAAATTACATATTCTGTTTAAGGGGTATCATTGTGTACTATTATCTTCCAACATGAAATACTCAATATTTCATCTATTTTCCCAAAGTTCAACATTCCAACCATGGGATGGCCTTAGTATTGAAGTGCTCATTACAGTGGAAACCCCCAATTTCAAATCAAAACAAACTTGCCGACTTGGAATGAATCCAAACTGAAATATTACCATTATTAGTTATATTTTTATTTTTCAACATTAGTGCTTTGTACTGTCCACATACAGACCCCTACATATGCACCAGCATATTACTGGGGAGTCTCACTAGCAAGCACATTTTGTACACACACCTTGCATTTAAAGAAAAATCTCAAAATATTTCTTAAGTCATTTAATTTTTCTGATATTGGTATAAAATTTTTCTTTGGACATTCATGAACGAGTATTTATGTGCATTATCATTATGAAATGCCATATGCAAGATTGCAACAAGCAAAAGTCCATACAGGTGTACTTGGCACTTATGCCCTTGTGCCTCCTAAGAAATAACCTGGTTTTGGCTCAGTTGTTTAGTAGTTTCCTCATGTACTTATAACATAAGCTAGTTAACTCAATTATAATCTCTAACCCCTACCCCACCCCACTCATTTGGGATGGACTCCTTAACCAGACGCTGAAGGTATCAGGAATATTTTAGTCATAAAATTTGGTCATAAAAATGTGCGTCACCATGCATACAGGCATACCCCACAGACCAATCGGTATGTTATGACACTTGTATACATGACAGATGGTAATATGCATCATCCCTCTAGGTAGTCCATAGCTCAGTACAATAATAATAACACTAAGTAACCTATTGTTGTAATTTTCTATATAACCCATTTTCTGTAATGCAACCTGTGCCACTGGTGGGCTTTGTTCACTTGCGGGGAGTCACCTTGGCCTCCAGCCAAAACGTTCACAATAGCAAGTTCATGTCAACCCAGCCTACAGCTCAGTTTTCATATAATAGCATGTTCACGCCACCCACCTCTCAACCCAAATTTTCACAAATGATGGTCATGTAGGGGTTAATAAAACCTAGTAGCTGTGAAGTAGTAACTTCCGTTGTAAAGCATATTTTATCAAAAACAACCCAAGGTGTTCGCACGCACACACACACACACACACACACACACACACACACACGCATGCACACGTATCACGTGTCGGTTATCCTTTAGTTTATCATATATTTATTAGTTACACCTGTAGTTACTTTCAAGTTAATGTAAACTTTTTTATTGTTTTATAATAAACATTTATTTAACAAAGTTGTAGGCAATCTGTTTACATTGTCATTTAAATAGGTTAACTTTCCATACCTCTGCCTTTTTGTATTTGGGTTATGACTATGAAATGTATAGTAGTTGGAGGGTTTGCAGTTCTTCTGAGTTAATAACATTAAGTTCATGTTACTTGTATTTATCTGTAGTATGTTCAGGAAGTGGGCTATAAGGATTGAATGAAGTAGGAAACCAGTATTCAACATTTTGTAAAAGTGAAATTTAATGACTTCTATTTTAAATTAACAAGTGTAATAATCACCTTCTGTCTTCATGTTAGTTTAAAGTGAACTTTATTTGCTTTCAAAGGAAATACTAAATCACTTAGCTGGATGCTATTAATTCAGTGGCAAAAAGTTGATTTGTTGGTGGCTGAGCACATGTGGAGCTATATGTGCAACAATATTAACTGTAACTTACTGAGGACAGCACATAAGCCCAGGACAAATGGGTTAATGGCACAGACAAAGTGTAAATACCCATATTGTGTATGGACGTTTTGTACAGTTTGCTTTGTAATGGAATATTCCCAAAATATCAAATGTTTACCATATAAGTGTGTACATTGAATCAAACACACACTTCATCTTGCATAAAGCTAATAACCTTCCAATAGTATAGATTGGCAGTGCATCCTTTTCACAGTATTATGCACCTACATATTGATATTGCCCAAATGGAACACTGAAATGTTTACCATGAGCATTGATACTATATACTTATCCTGTTTTTGCTTCCATAGTGAGAAGAGATTCCCAGGATATGACAAGGAGAGCAAGGAATTCAACGCCTCAGTCCTCCGCGACCACATCATGGGAACTCACATTGCCAGGTACATGAAGGACCTTATGGAAGAGGATGAGGATGCCTACAAGAGGCAGTTCTCTCGCTACATCAAGTTGGGCATCACTGCTGATGAGGTAAAGGGAAATTTTGTTTGTTTTATATACATGTATATGTGTGTATATATAGTGTACACTTTCTTTTTATGGTCCCCCCTCCCCCAACATTATTACACATGTCTTAATACATTTTTTATTTCCACAGGTTGAAGAGCTGTACAAGAAGGCCCATGCCAACATCCGTGCCGATCCCACTGCTCAGCCCAAGAAGACGAAAGAGGCAAGTGTTGTTCAATTTCTTCATGGTTGATTTATTCTTATGCTGTACTCTACTCCAGCATGTGTAAAAATTGAGGGAGATCTTAATCCCATTTTGTTTTTTTCAGGTTACCAAGAAGAGGTGGAACGCCAAGAGGTTGACCTACAAGCAACGCAAGGCTGCTGTTGCGGAGAAGAAGGCTGCCTGGTTGGCCAAGATCGAAAGGGGAGAAGCCTCTGTCGATCAACTTCACAATTAAATGCCCCCTTTGCTGGTTGAATGTATGGTTTTATTAACCTTAAAACTTAATATGTATTTTCAATGAAATGGTTAACAGGAACTTAGTTTCTTTTTAACCTTATGTCTTCAGTATTTTTGTAATTTTTGTACAGTATGTGAGGATGATCATGTATCAAACTTAAATTTTCTTTCTATATTATATCATATTATTCCTACATAATAGCAATTTCATTAAAGAATTAAACAGGTGTTCAGTCTGCTTCCATCTGGAATTAACTAGCAGAACTTCACTGTATTAAATAATACAAGATAAATGGTTATGCTACTGGACAAGACAGTGATTTTGAACAATTGGCAAGGGCACTGCTGATTTGCCTCAATACCCAAGCAATATCCCTGCGAACAGACATACTCCTCGCTTAATAGGGCACCAATAATATTCAACTCTTCCCTTTGGTTCAGCTATTGATTCACTGTGTAGGTCTCTTCTTTTCTCCTATATGTATTATTCCTTTTTTTTTTTCCATACTGCACTTACAAAATTTTTTTTTTACCATATAGGTACAGGCTTCTCTTTTGGCTCATGTTTTTTGACGAACATGTTGCTTTACTCAAAGTATATTTTAAACTTTAAAATACTAAGATACACACTGGTGCTGATTTTAATTGGTCTGAATTGGACAGGGAAACTAAATTTGACATTTATGGTAAAGAAATAATACTTGTTTATTTACAGACTCTACATATGAATGACAAGATATGTGATTAAATAATAATGTTGAATGTAAAATGAGTAATTTACAATTAGATGAATTAATGTTAATATCAATGATTTTAAATATATTACAAAGTTCTTGTAATCTAGCATTTGATATTTGAGCTTTACATTAAGTAATTACAACACTGGTATCTCCAACAATGTATGTAAAATATATAGATGCATTGCTGTAGGTTAACAAATGTGGAAAGCAATGGTTTACCTGACCACACCATTTTTTCCTTTGTAAATATTTCTTGCAAATGCAAATTGAAGTTCCACATAGGACACTATAAACTTTTCCTCTAGTATTATCTGCAATGGTCAATTCCATTCCATCAGAACAGACACTGTAGAAACTCCCTTCCTGCACTCCTATCTCCGCCATGCTTTGATCCACCTCTACCTCATGCAGTTTACCCTATTCAACACCCTTCCTTCCCTCCTAATATTTCTCCTGAAACTGATCTAATCACCCCTAACCCCCCCCCTCCCTTTTCCCTGTATTGTTAATCCCTGTCTTCCATTTTCTTGCCCTTTCTGTTCTCACCCCTCTTTATCTCTTCAGAGAAAGAAAAAAAAAGGGGGGGGGGAGGGTAAAGTTTCAATCCGCAGCCGCCCGGATCGTTCCCGCTCTGTCAGTATTATCCTAATCCCAAGCTAACGCATTATCAACCACGACTGACTTAACTGGCTAATCCATTCCTGCCCAGCCTCATACCTCCCTCCTTAATTGTATCGGAAAGGCCTCCATCTCCCCCAACAAACTAATAGACGACAAAGTTGGTCAGAATGTGGAGAAGACTTACTCGCCTTCCTCGTGGACTACAATATCGGTACAATGCTACACCATTCCCCTTAGAGGCCATCGTAAGTTCTCCACCAATATTGCCAAAATTACTTCCCGTAGACAAGACCTCCCCCATGAAGTTTATATTGGCGGAAAATGACCCTGTCCGACCATATTAGCCTCCACACGGTAATGACGTCTTAACCCCCCTGCCAAACACTGCCACTCCACAGCCCAGTCCTTTGTGCCCAACCTAGTCATGATCAGTCAAACTGCTCTGCACAGTCACCCACGTGTGACATTTGTGTTCCATAATGTATTTTATAGGGGGGGGGGGGGGCTAACTTACCTACAAGTTTGAGTCTGAGGTGGCAACTCTCAGATCACTTTTCGCGAAGCCAAAAGTGATTGCTACCCTACACTTTGCCCATTCATTTTTCTCCCCCTGTATTTGTTCCTCCATCTTACGTTTCCACTTGCACTCTCCTTCCTCTCCCAATTCAATTCTTTTGCCAAGCTAAATCCAGACACCTCAATCTCTACCACTCTCTCTCTACCCTCGCCCCTCTTTTCCCCTTTCAATGTCATATAATACTGAACTGCTCTACGACTTTTGACGTGGAGCACATTTAATAAACTAATCTCCCTCTCCTTTACGTCACAATAATTTCCCTTCTGACATTTCTCCTGACAATATTCTTTAAACCTTTTTTTTTCTTCTGCTAATCCTTACCTAACCTTATGAGCATCCTTAAAGAATCCCAGACTTCTTCCTTTGCCAGCCTATTCTTCCTCCGATGCATAGATATCCTCCATCTTAACTAATTGCCCTTCGCTTACATCCCGTCTTACCAATCCCGCCTACGCCACCACACTATCCTTTTAGTGCTTTACTACCTTTAGCATCTAACACACTGTCATAATCATTAACTATTTTTTACCCTCCTCGTCACAGTATTTTCCTATAGTGCTATATGATCTTTGATGTCTTGCGCATATGTTTAATTGAACTATTAACCATTATCATCTAGGATACACAGTATTATATTTTATTATTCAAGAGAAAGATTCCTGATGGTAGGCGAATGGAGCTCCTTGTGTTACGGACCGAAGACACCGTCGCTTTACTTCTTGGCACAGCTTTTTTGGTCCGCAGGCAAACACGCCAACTTTGGTTCTGTTGGGAGTTAAAAGTAAGAACATCACCTGGAGTACATTACATGATACCGAATGGACGTGATCATTACTCAATATTCATGATTGTTCCGAGACAAAACTAATGGTAAGCTTTGATATCTTACTTCTTATAATCTTGGCTGTATTGATGAAACAGGTTCTTCCACTGAGGTCGCCCCTGTTTTATTCTCGGGATCAGGGTGGGATGGTGATTGCCAAATAATTTCTGAAAGTAACAACCTCCATTAATGATGAGAATAATAGTGTAGGAGTAATACGTCAATTCTCCAATGCTTCACAGCTAGACAGAAATAGCAATACGCTTAGGAAAGATTTTTTTCTGAAGCAAGTGCTGTTATAAACGCTAGGAACAAATTTAATTTCGTCCTAGCTATGGGGAGATGCCCAACTTCTCAAATCGAGATACTCATTCAACCACTCTACTCTCTTCACTACCATACTATCTTCTAGTACTGTTCAACCTTAAACTTTACCCTAATTAACTCTATGACCTGGGTATCTAGCACATTAATCTGTTTTGACCATTAACCATTATAATCACCCGCATTTGTCCATGAACAAAGACTGAACGTCGTGTGACAATGTAAAGGCAGCCACTTCGGTCTTATACTACGATTCTGAGAAAACTATGAAATGTTACTTTTAAAAAGTTAGAGGGCTGGGTTTGTGTTATGAAATTTAATAAATGTAATCTATGTCATATCCAGACCTAATGACAACGAAAAAACGCGGAAAAGATAGTTTAACAAATACTAACCGTTGTTTATAGAATAAAAATCGATGTAGATAACTAAAAAACAGTAAAAGTTAAGCTTATACATGACATTACAGATCATGCCCCTTCAAACCCTCACTTCACTAGAAAACGATCCACTCTAACCTGCAGCTCCTCGTGGGAAATCGGTGTGGTAACATGGAGGCAAAACTCAAGTCGGTCTTCAGTACAGTCCTGCCAACACTGATGCAACAGACTCGAAAGCAGATGAGCCATGGTCAAGATGAGCCGAGCATCTCTCATGACCCAGATCATGTGCACTCTCTTCGGCCATGAGGCTGGGTGATGTCTGTGAAACGAAAAGAAACTTCCGGTTTACCGAATGCGGCTAAAAGGTTTTCATTGTATCAATGTGCCTGATATGATTTAATGGCAGTAATAATTTTTTTCAGCTTGATGTTAGAATATTATGAGAGATATAATGGTTAAAGGTTAACACAAATAAATGTGCTAGGCGCCATAGGTCATATAGCTCTATGGTAAAGGATTGTGGCAATGAGTTAATGCTTAGAACAAAGGTCAGACAGCACTACAGGATACTATGGTAGTGAAAAGGGTAAAGAGGGGGGCAGATGGGATTAGGAAGTGATTAGTAAATGGGGGAAGGGCGATTGGATCAAATGGAGGGTCCCTATGCGTCCAAGGAAGGAGAACAAGTTGTCAAAGTATTCCGTAAGGATGTTTGGGATGGTTTGGGACTAGAAGAGGAATCATTGTGAAATAACGGACGGGTAATAAGGGTAGAAATGGGTGTCAGAGAGTAGGAGACAGAATGAGACAAGGGGCCAACAGAAGATGGTGAAGTATCAGGAAGAACACGGTTGCTTGAGCATCCAGGAAGGAGCAAGAGTGATAAGTGGTCTAGGGACCAGGAGAAGGGGTGGGTGTAGGATAGAATGTTTTCTGAGGGTTGACGGGATGTATTCTCATTGTTGAGCAATGACCCAGGGAGAATGATTTAGAATGAATGAAGTTGTCAGCAAGCATAGATTAGTGAGTATAAGTATCAATGGTCGGAGCCGTGATTAAAGGACAGGCAGGGGTCGGGAAACCAGAGAAGTTCACTTTAGACAGGCTAGTTGATATTGTACAAAATCTTCATTACTGGTCACTGGTGAGCCTAAAATAACTGGGAAAAAGAAACGATCTACCCCTTAGGGTCCCCATAAGGGGTAAAGGCTTGACATTAACCAAGGGAATACCGTGCCCTTGGCCAGCCTTTTATCCTTTCAGCACGGCTCTTACAACTTAGGAAGTGGACAGAAGAACGGGTTGGAGAAGAGAAGGGGAATGAATGGGGTCCCAACATTGTGCCTAATCTCCCGTCTCCTTGCCCTAATCACCTACGCATATATACTTACAGTATATGAGTAAGTGTAGCAGCCAAGGGTGTGATGCCGACTCCTCCAGCGATACCAACTACCACCGGATACCGAATCATATCTTCACTTGGAGAACTAAAAGGACCATCCACGTATAGCCTGTGGTTGTCACGGAAAGTTTCATATAAATTATATAGGTTATGATGATTCATTCACATACAAGTAAAAATATTTTTCTCTTTTCGAATATGAATGACAAGGGTAATGCACTGACTATAAATAGCACATGATTCCAGTAGTATACGACTACAACAGTATATAAAACCAAGATTCTGGTATAACGAGAAAACTTGTGAGTCTAGGTTTAATATATTTAATAAAATGACGGACTGGTCTTACCTTGCGCAGGTGTCTGGAGCTATGTGGACGGTGTGGTGCTCTGTGGTTTGATGTGAATCCTCGTTTTCATTTTGTATTTTCCGTACATGTTTATCCAAGTGCATTGGCGTTTTTATACTAGAATTCAAAAATATACTTTCTAACTCATTATTATCGATACGATTACCAACATGACTTTGCGATAACTTCCCAGGTGGCAACACTGGCGAAGGATGATCGAACTGTGAATGAACTTTTATGCAAGACTGGGATGATGAAAAATGCTTCATTAACGGTGACTGTGAACAAGACCTCTCATTATCTTGCGTGTGTGTACAAACAGGTGGCTGTGAGGTACAGTGCTCCCTTAATAAATTAAAGCTTGAGTTCTTCCCCTGTAAAAAGGAGTAAACTTTGGATTCGTCTACTGCGCGAGCAGATAGACAAGGCTGCACACTCTGAGGCGAGAAAAGCCTCTCGCCATCGCCTTTAGAGGAAAGGTAGTTAGCTTGTACTAAATTTGGCTTTGCGTGTACTCTCCGACTAGACAGCTCTTGGGGCCCGTAAGTAGGTCTCTGACTAGGATCGTCCACTTGACTAGACTTCGAAGGTAACAGCGCGGCGACACGTTTGCTCCAGTCCCCCCGCGCCCTCATGAACACGGTGAAGGTCCCGGGGGAGTCATCTGAAGGGGTCTGAAAAATCGAGGAAATTGCAAAATGTAATCTCACTCTGAGGTGTTTTTGTCCTCGGAGTTTGATTTTGTTAAGACGTGATAAGAAATCATGTCATGTGCTTTTATGTACTCTTGCTTGTTCATCTTTAATATATATCAAATAGATTAAGCTAGTAACTCGTTGCAAAAACTTTAATAGTCATATTGATCTATTTTTACTGGGATAAGTAAAGATAATAAACTAAGATTAAAAAATATATATTTCTAATATTATATAAGCAATCAAAGTAATCACCCTACCGTAATAATGACCGTTAGTAGTTAGTAGTGTAACAGGCCATGCGGTTCTGGATCACGTGACTGATGATGTCACAGACTTTGACCAATCTATGGTATGTAAATTAGTGTAGATATGTTAGGTAGTTTATCAAAAATGACTGACGCTAAATTCATCTTGGAACTGAATTTAAAAAAAATACAATTGTAAAATGCATTTTGATAAGGTTTAGTCTGAATTACTTTGGAAACAAATAATATACGTATACACTGGTAATTAAAAATTACATATGATTGCCTTATCATTCGGGGTTAGTTTTAATACACTAATTATTTTAACTGATGCAGAGTACTAATGTTTATGTA